TAACACCGCAACAAACATCACATAATTAAAAGTTAATTTACCAATATTAGCTTTGAACATTTGTCTAACTCCAAACAAAAAGATGAAGAACGAAATCAATATAAACAGAATCAAAACAAACGTGACGACACTATAAAAATTAAAAACCTGCTCAGGTTGAAAATTAAAAAGTTACTTTTTAAAAAGAAAACTATGTTCACTGTGAAATAAAGCGTTCAAATCACACCGAAATTAACAATTATAATACTATCAATACTTTCCAAATTTCATTCCAACTGATTAGCGAATAAAAATATAGAAAATATAAGAAATATAACCAGTACAAAGTGCCTAACTTGTAGTGCTTAGGATTAACGTTTGGACCCTAGTCCATATTTTGGTTCCGTTTCGGTGTTTATCGAGGAAGATTCCGATAACGATGCACCTCGCGTTAGGTAAGGTTGAGTGGACCACGGTGTGTTTATCTAAATCTCAGCGGGCGGTTATTTAAAAAAAATCTCGCGTCCCACCACCGAGCACGGAGCGTACGCGACGCTCGAGGATTCGGCGATCGCGATGAATGACGCGCGAACGTGCGCTTATCGCTAGATCCCGTGACGTCGCGCTTATCGTATAAATTATCCACGCGAGGAGGTCTGCTCGTCAGTCGAACATTTCTCCTCAAACGATCGTGAGAGTGGCATAGGAAGAACCTGCCGCGGAAGCTGCCCGCTGCGACTACACTCTCCGACAATAGAACTGTTTCGGTTCTATTACTTTCAACGGTCTAGTCATTAACTACAGTATACAGTAAAGGTGAGCTTTTCCTGCTGGACTTTCTGTTACAATCCCTTTCCTAACAAGTTCCTATAAATTTCAGTATAAAAGAATAATATAGAATGGTACTTTGTTGTGAATTCGCTTACCAATGAGTAGAACATTGCTGTTAGCAGCATAGTCCACGTGGTCTTTCGTGATACTTCTTCTCGGAGCTGTAGCCTCTTCTGGCTTTCTAAGTCCAACGGAGCCCTGAAACAAAGGAATCTCATTGATTAGTTATAGAGTCGATTGTAGAAGAATTGGAAAATATTATTTTATTTTTCACTTTATTGAAACTTTTGTCAGAATCGTATCACTTGCTTCCATTCTAGGCTGAAACAAAGGAATCTCATTGATTAGTTATAGAGTCGATTGTAGAAGAATTGGAAAATATTATTTTATTTTTCACTTTATTGAAACTTTTGTCAGAATCGTATCACTTGCTTCCATTCTAGGCTTGTTTAAATAATATAAGTGCGAAGTACAAAGTCCTCGAGTGTCAATTCTTATCAACTCCTCCTTCCTATATTAATTTTTATTTCCTTTTAATGAGTCAATTTATTTTTTAATAAATCCCTTTAATAGACTGCAAAGATTCACATCGAAATTTTAATAAAAGTGCCACTTCAAAGTACCTCCAAATTACAATTAAGAAAATAAATTTCTATTTAACTCCTGTTTCTTCAAATCGTCTCAGAAAAATTCTGACCCGTAAAGATTCTCGTCCACTAATGATCCACTGGAGTCCCTAATAAAGCTTCTCTTTTGAAGTTTCTCATAGAATCGATAATTCTCAATATGCACGTTTATCGTTCAGATGCTGATCGGTGGAGCAGTGAGCTACGTGGCTGGCAAACAGGTCGCTCGCACGGTGTACTGGCGAACGGCGAACAACGGTCGCCTATTGAAGACCGCCAAGACCTGCATGTTCCAAGGGCCGCCGAAACCGGCGCCGTCCTCGACTTTCCCGGGTCGTTCTCGCATCGACCCAATACCGAACTCTGTCCTGAGCAATCGGGACTAAGGAAGCAATCAGCATGACACTAAACCAAAGAACTGGGGCGGGAACCTTGGGGGGGAGGGGGGTTGTTAGAGACTGCGTTAGTCAACGATAAGTTAGACTTGTACATAGCTGTTAATAATTTAAGTTAAACCTGTATATTAGCTAGCATCGATGACATGATCATTGAATAAAAACGATATTTATTTTCTTAACAAACTCTCGTCTCTTCCTCGACACGTTTTCGAGGCGTTGAACACCTCCGATCCTTCTGACCGATATTCGTACCGTGTTTCAGGGGCATTAAATTCGAAAGACAGAGCCTGCGGAAACAGGACCGATTAAAATAAGAGTCTAAACTCTAGAGGATCTACCGACAACGTGTTGAAACTTAGCTGTTGCAGCCAGTTCACTGATTCGAAGAGTAAGGAAAATGTTTTTCGTGAAGGGGAGATTATTATTAAGCCTAATTCTAATTAGGCGCACCAGTTCTCATCTGGTGCACGGAGAACTCATATACTTGAACTTTGAAATAAGGTCAAGTCGATTTGCGTCAGCGGTCACCGTTAGAGAATAGAAGGCATTTGTTCGGTTCATCATAGAGATGATAACGATTAATCGTGCATCCGAGTTGGGGACCGCAGTGCTCCTTTTGCACGGTTTTATCTGGTATCGTCCGGTGAACTGTCAACACAATAATGATCTCCGCGCGAGTGACGTAAATTCAGCCACGCTAATTCTATGGCCCGTGCTCTCCAAGAGGAAGATCCTCTGATGCGGAAGCTGTATCTTCGGCTCGAAGAAGATAATCGTCATCGGATGCACCTAGAATATTTCCAACCATTTTTTTTTTTCCTCTTCATTCCATAGGACGACGGGTCACGTGACCGAATCGCTGAACTCCGGCGGGTCGTAGATCCGCCTTATCGCGGAGGAACGCTGCAATCACGCACACGCACCGTGCAAGCGTGATGTTACATGCACGATCCGCTGATATCGAGATGCGTCACGGTTTGCCGTGGATTGAGAGAAAATGCGCGCTGTCGGCGTTCGTAGCTCGATTTGTTAGATTAATTACAGTTTACTTCAATTATTTTTCATTCCACTTGTACGTTAACGATCTTCGCTTCTCTGGCACCGTTACAATCGTTGGAATTTTTTCCGTTTCATTGGGTGTTCATTTTTTAATACTTTTGAGTTTGAAGGAAACGAATGAATAAAAATGAGTCGACGCTTTAACGATAGAAGAAAATCGTGTGCTTCTGAGATTTTAGTAATACTTGCAACACTTAGATAAACCGCGGATCGTGGAAGGATTAACGGTTTGATAATAGAGAGAATAAAGGAAAATTACTTCGGGGCGTTTCAGTTTATTGTTCCCGGAGATTAGCTCACCCTTTTTATTTATTCCGTGGTTAAGAGGGACTCGAGCGAAATTTTACGCGGTCGAGCTTTTTACGTTGGCGTCGCGTCGCGTCGCGTCGCTGCACGCGATAATAATAATTCGAAGCTAGTGCATAAGTGGAACTCCCCGATTCGCGAGATAAAAGAACGGGCGCGAGTTACGGCGCGGGTCAAGGCCTGCGACATTCAAACGCATTGTCGTTACTGGCACGGTAAGGGTTTCCCTAAACACGCGTGCGGAGGCCATTCGACTCTTTGGAACATGTTTCGCGTTTGACGATCGCGACTGGCAGTTCTTTCATCGGTTTCCGTATCGGGGACTGTTAGGAAGATTTAGTTTCCGTTTGTATCTCGACGGTTTATTTGCGAAATGTCTCGTTTCGCAAATAAACGACCGTCTGCTGGGTGGAAGAAAGGTTACGTTAAAATGTTCAAAGGCAAGCTTTTTGAGGCACAGACGCGCAAAGATGCACAGAATATCCATAAAGTACATATTGTGCGTTGAAGATATTTAGAGTAGCATGAACGTACAGCTTTAAGACAGATACGGATACTTTTTCAATTTACAGTATCAAGTGTTCGTATCCTGGTGATAAAGAATATTTATACTTAATATACGTGTTACTTCAATGAAATATCTCTTCGTGAAGTGCTTAAAAAATAAGAATGATATCATCCCACTGGAAGATTAAATAGATAAGAATGGAACGATGTAATAAGAATGATAATTAATTATTAATATATTTAAATATGGTCGCCGAACTTTGATGTTAAGCTAAAACGTACTCGTTTTATATAACGAAAGGGGTTATAGAAAGAAAACGAGCTTGTGAGATCGTGTAGTGCTAGAATCCGCTGACGGTGATCAAAAGCCGGACATCCGGAGTGCGATCGCCTGCGCAAGCATCGCGGAACACGGAAGAGCGACAGAGGAAATGGAAATATCGAAGGGTAACCCGGGGTGTGATCGGAAACAAGCTGAATAACTAGCGAAGTATTCAATCCTGTTCAAACGGAAACAGTCCGTTCCAAAAGTTGTGCAAATTCACATGGAACTAAACCTCTGCATCCTCAAAAAGAGTATCCATAGATCACAGGCTTGACGCTCAACAACCCAACAGACTTAAACTACCAATCCTCTTGAGCTCAACAAATTAAAACACAAGCAATTCCCTCTACTCTAAAGACGACGAAGACAAATTGACATAAACAAAAACTCTCCCGATATTCGAAAAGTATCCATACTACACAGCGCCAGAAACCCAAACAGTCCAATGCTCAAGTTATCAATCACCCCTCTTTGTCTCTCCCAGCGAACACCCCCAACGCAACAAACTTCCTCCATAAATTCCTGAAATTCAACAAGCTACCCGGATTCCCCGACACCCCGTGGATCGTCCGAATCGCTCGCGAGAGGGAGGATCGAACGGCCCTCGCTCCTCGCCGGGTTTAGCCGAGGGGGTTGGCAGGCACGGGGGTGTAAGGTTACGCAGGCGTACTGGCGCGACTATCGATCTCGCTGGCGAAAGGTGCCACACGGTTGGCCATCGATTCGACGACGTTCGTCTAAAGGGATTGTGTGGCCTGGCGATTTCGAAAAGGCGAACGGAGGGTGCACCGCTCTCTCTGAACACGGGGAGACAGGGCTGGGTTTCCTCGTCGCTGGTTCAGTCGTCGTCTTCAGCGACCCTTGGCTGAAGAATCATTCCGCGGTCGCGTGGTTTCCTTGGCCAGCGGATGGTCTGAAGGAACCTGAAACTCCCTGGAAGAATAGAGGCTAAGAACCGTCCTAGGAATCATGCAGAACTATGGACACGAGGACTACGATTATGGGGGTGATGGTATGCAGCAACAGCAGGGGACCGGCAGATCGCTGCCCCAGGTGCCAGGCGCCAGGCCCATGGTGGACCCGCTTGCGAGCGGCGAAGTGGACCCGAACCTCTATCCCGAGCCGAAAGAGGCGACCAACAAGATCCGCGGCAAAAGCGACGTGATCGAGTACCTCTTTGGGCCCGTCGACCAAGAACTCTTCACCGTGAAGACATTCTACTTTTTCTTCTACTCGGCGTTCGGCTCCCTGTTCCCGCTGATGGGTGTCTATTTCAAGCAGATGGGCATGAACGCGGGCCAGTGTGGACTGCTGATCGGACTTAGGCCGTTCATCGAGTTTCTTAGTGCGCCGTTCTGGGGATCGTTGGCTGACAGGTGAGTTGAGGCAGAGTAGCAGGGTTTAGAGATTTGTTGAAGCTTATTCATTTGAATCTGAGAGATTTGGTGGTTGGAAGTAGCGAGCTGAAGTTGCTTCGATGAATTAATGATGGTTGATGGTTTTAACGTTTGGTTTGAATATTCCGTGCACGTTATATTGAAATTTGATGTTGGATGTTGAGGTAACTTTGCTACAGTAGGCTAAGTGACGATTGAGAATCGTCTGTGAAGCGTGGAAGCTTGGAAATTGAGCTTCTTTGATCCAGTGAGTTGGGAATGGGTTTAAGATTAAAGATTCTTGTAGTGGGAAGGACTCGGTGTTCTTAGTTTTTTAATGAACTATGTTGAACTCTCTTTTCTTCCTATTTTGGTTTACTGTAAGAAGAAATTAATTATGTATTCTTTGATTAATTATACATTCTTCAAATGGGCGTGTATACTTGATGTTAAATAATCAATGTAGTAATAGAGGATTATCGGTGGACCGTGCAACGTGAACAGAGAATCACGTGAATTTAGCGTAGTGTTCAATGTGTTGAGAAAAGAGGTCGTAACAAGACTGATAATTGCGACTGTCACTGCAGGTGGTAGGAATGAATCCCAACGTTCGAAGAACAAGCAAAATCGAAATATGCTCCGTTGATTCGCTAAAACAGCGAAAGCACTAAATGTAGGACAAGTGTCAGTTGGTTCTGGGACAACCAGAGAAACTTGTTTGGACACACTTGAGTGGTGCATACGTTGAACTTATTCCTCTCAGTCTAATTTACTTTGTGTCACCTATCTCTTATCACTCCACTGTTGGAATGTATTAATTCTGAACCTCGTTCCATACGTGAAAAATCAAGCTGCTAAAATAGGAAGTTCCACAAGTCACTCTTCATCAGTTCCTCAGAAACAAGAAATTCAATAGACACAAATAACACGACTCTGGCAATATCTCAATGTAGAAAAATGCACTGATGCATGTCTCCGATCTGGCAGATTCAATTATCGATTACACACGAAAGAATGTCGTTTCGAATCAGATACGCTGTCGATGGAGTCACGATAAACGTGGGTTTTTTTGTTCAATGAACAGCTCCTGTATCGATTCTACCCGGTGACAAAAATGCCTTTGCCTCTTAAGATCTCGTGATCCCAGACTTATCCAGGAAACTGGGACAATCGATGTCCAGTGATCTATTTTATTTTTCAGGTGGCAGAAAGGCAGGCTGATCCTTTTAGCCTCCCTTTCCTGCTGGATCATCTTCACCTTGCCATTGGGATTTATTCAACCCCCAGCAACATCCTGTATGGTCCTAAAAAACAACACTGTGTACTTGCTGGCGTCCAATCCTGATCGTCGAATCGTGAAGAGATCCCCTAGCTTGGACGAATTCCACCACAGGAATGACGACGATTGTCTAGAAGTCGCTGACAACGTTGTGTTCGAAAGTTTGAGGAAAGATGAAGACATCCAAGTGCCAGCGATCAGGCAACGACTCGTTAAGATCACGCGCAAAACGAAGAATGAAGCTAGCCACGAGCCATACAACGATCACAATAACAACAGGGTGCGAAGAGAGACCGCCACGACGGAGGATAGTCCTGTGGAGGATCTCAAGTACAAGCAGCTGGTGTTCGAAGACACCGAGACCGATCCTGAAGCTAAGACCATTGATTTCGAAACTCTGCAACGAAGAAACCGTCCGGCTGATATTCTTGAGTACAAACGGTTCCTCAATGTAAGTGTTGCTGTACGAAAGTGAAATGAAAAAGTATTTGTACATTATATCTTTCTGCGATAACTGTATGTAAGAAAAGTAAGTGTACAAAGTTTGAGCACGTACAAATGGATTTTCGCATTGTTTTTGAACAAATTAAACAGGTTTTACAAATTTACTGTATTACAAATTTTATCAGTGTGCTACATATCGATAAAAAATTATTAAAAAAAAAATATTCAATTACTTTGTACAAATACTTCGATTCATTTTACATTTGATTAATATTCAATGTCTAGATGCGTTGCACGTACACATTTTCCAGAACCAACCCTTGGACGACGGGAAACCGCCAAAGAAAGTGTACACGCACACCAAGACCAGAGTGAAACCACCCCCGACGAAGATCATGGTGAAACGAGATGTGGATACCGTGATAGAAGCACCGGAAATTAAGAAACCGGCCTCCTCGCGGCGAAAACGGTTGTCGACAGACGATGATCGCAAGCTGACGCTCATGGAAGACGAAGAGGAAGATGAAGTGAACGACGATGACATCGAGGAAGACGAAGAAGACGTCGAGATGCCTTTAGTGAGGACCAGACGCTACATTAGGATACCCCATTCCGGTCAAAGTCCTCACAACGTCGGATACGCTGCCAACTACGACGCCAATGAAAACAAGGGATGGGTGAAGCCGTTGTTCAGCTCCATTGTCTACAGGCTGCCAGTAAATCTTAATCATTGTTCATTGAAAAAGCGTTGTAATTATATGAACAGGATCCATTCCACTTCCTTCAGTGACCTTGATTCGAGCCACTCACAGGACAAAGTGATTAACACCATTGGTTGGATCTTTCCCAAATTTCAGTGTGGGGTTTAATCAAATTTCACTACTTCAGCTTAACCTTCTCACTTTTTGAAATGTACTGCTGACATTCTCGCGATTTCTGAAGTTGATCATTTTAGTGAATGAATGGTCTACTTACGTCATCGATATTCTGAGCTTGAACTTCAAAAATATGCTTACACAAAATTCTTCATTAAACCATGTGTTAGATTATTTAAGAAACATTAATGTTCATAATATATTTCACGATTACTGAGGTTAACAAAGTGAGTCCTGTTTTATATACTTACTAAAGATCTTTTCTTAATCAGTGCGATTACTGATTAAGCAACCGCTTCACAGGACATCCAAAAAACCTTCTTCCTCTTGCTGCTGCTAGTGATAGTAGGAGAATTCTTCGCTGCACCTGCAATCACACTAGCAGACTCAGCGGTAATCACCTTACTGGGCGAAGACGCGGACAGGTAGCGTTCCCTACAGGTTCTGAACTACTTTCCGTAAACTTGACGCTTCTTTCCGATTCTAGATACGGTCATCAGCGAATGTTCGGCAGCTTGGGCTGGGGTCTGGCTATGTTCTTCGTCGGAATCGCTCTGGACCATAGCACTGCGTTCCCAGACCATCCTTGCGGTCCAGACGTGAGGGAAAAGAATTATACTATCTGCTTCGCGGCATTTAGTGTCTTAATGGGTGCGGCGTTGATCACAGCCACGCAAATTACCTTCAAATACGATGTTATTGTGACGGAACCGGTGAGTGATTACATAATGGTACACTAATCCTTTAGAGATACGTTTAATTCCAGGATTCTTTCAATTTTTCCAAATATTCTTTCAACGATAGAGATTACCCCTTACAGAGATTGATACTGAGAATTATCTGTTAAAATAAATATAGTCTCTAATTGTAGTAAAAAATTGTAAACTTCAATTTTCGAAGTGGAATTAACTGATAATTAAATATTAAAAAGGAAAGCATCTGCCATAGAGTATTAATACTAAAATATCAATAAGCACAGCTATCCCTGAAGGGTTGAATTGAACTATATCAAAACTAGGAAGTCTCTAATCTCCTTGGTTGTTCAGGAAGTGGTGAAGGCGCCAGCCGAACCGACCAGGGAAGAACAGTTGCAGAGTCAACTATCTCAGCAGCTGAATCTGCCGAGTCTTCAAGATTCCTCCGCGGCAGTGAACCCGAAGCCTCAACCTCCAGAAGGAAAGGTATGAGAATGTCTGGTTTCCTTCTATCCACTGAAATTCCTTGGACATTCGCCAATGATTACTCGACACTTCTAGACGAAAATGTTTGCTCAAACGATGCGGGAGATCCCGGAATGGGTGACCGTGTTGAAGCAGTTCAAGGACCTCAAGTGCGCGTCCTTCCTCTTCGTCGCGTGGTTCATGGGCTTCGGTATCGGGCTGATCTTCACCTTCCTCTTCTGGCACCTCCAGGACTATGGCGGCTCGCCCACCCTCTTCGGCGTTGCCTCCGTGATTAATCACATATCCGAGATATTCGCCTACTTCTCTAGCTTCAAGCTGATCCGTCAGATCGGCCATGTCAAGGTAACGACGGAACTTTCGAAAAAGAAACTGCCCTTGGCAGAAACTGAATAACAGCAAAATAAAACACTTAACCGCAAAATAAAAAGGGGATCTAATACTACATAAACATCCAAAGAAAGTCAACAATATTCGAGAAAAATATTACATTCTCCAGTAAATATGAAATGACGTAGTCTTTCCCGGTACACGAAGATTGCGAAAAATTATCAAGCAAAGCAACATAACACTTAAACGAAGTTCAAAGTCTTCTCTTTTACGGGGAGACAAACATATTCATCAATGTTTTATCGACGTAACATGATCGTCGTTGCGTCTACTTTCACTATCAACGAAAACATTTTCGACGTTTGAATAATTACAACAAACATTCGGTTCGTTCGATCGAATATCAACTGCCAGGGGTAATTAACAGAAAATGCGAAAATCATTTTAGTAAAGCGTTTGTCGATCACAGGTACTATGTATGGGCCTTGCCGGCAATGTTCTCCGTTTCCTGTATATATCCTGGCTGACAAAGCCCTGGTGGGTGCTGCCATTCGAGTTCATCCAGGGCATAACTCATGCCGCAGTGTGGGCCGCGTGCTGCAGCTACATTGCCCACAACACGCCGCCACAGTTGCGTACCAGCGCTCAGGGCGTTCTTCAAGGTATTCACCATGGTCTGGGCAGGGGTTGCGGAGCAGTGATCGGAGGCATGTTCGTCGATGCTTACGGTAAGCATTCAGACCGGCAAGAGTGGCTACCAGCCGGTACAACAATGGTCTATCGATCCGCGACAAGATGACAAGTGGCTTCCATATTGATTCGGGTTACAATATTCATGAGGGGTTGGACTATTATTAGTCGAAACTCCCGGCTGGACGATTCTTTCACTTAAATTCGTCCCTTTGAGAAGCTTCGTTCAGAATAATCATCGAGCTGTACGCTTTGGAACGTTTCAACAGATTTTAGGCTTTTATTGGTAGGTCTTTGACAGTGAAAGAGCTTTCAGCTTCTTGCGAACAGCACACTTAATACGAAGAGTACCACTCGGAGCGAAAATCTTGCTTCCCTCTTCTGTTGTATCTCTTTGTACACTTTGCTTTCGGTTCAATTCTAGTTTTATGCTTTGGGTTAAATAATGAAGCAGATTTGTCTACTATTATTATGATCTATACCATGAAATATACTATAATCATAATTTTCAATAGTATATTTAAAATATTTAAAAATATTTAACATTTTAAATTACTAGACATTGAATAATATTAATACTAAATATCACTACATTCAGTTTTCAATGTTAATAATAATTATTACGATGATGCTAATTTAAAAGAATTAAATATGTGAGTAACATCTGCAAGAATAGGTTACTATGAACTAAATTTAATTCACAGCTATGCACCTGAACGAATCACATACATACGACTCTACCTTTGATCCAATTTCATCAGGTACGACCGCGACGTTCAGAGCATATGGTCTCTTCTGCCTGGTGGTGCTCGGTGGTTTCGTGTTCATCAACTTCTACAGAAAGGATACGGGCTTTGTGTCGGACCTGCCGCAGACGGAGGATCCTCACCAGGTGGCCGAGGCGACGCACCTGGCACCGCACGGGGTTCCAAGCAACGCCATACCGCGCGCACTCAGCTCGACCCGTCTCCACGAACTAGCTAATCAGGACACGGGATACGGTGCCACTTATCAAACGACGGGCGGTAACCTTGGTGTACCTGGTGCGAATGGAGGTAAGAAAGATCTTCGGCAGGACGAACAGATTTTATAAGATTTCCCCCTATTTTTAGATCGTTATATTTTAGTTATCTTAATGTCTCGATTTTCAAGTATTCACTATTCTTAACGTTCGTTTATTATTTTAGTTGGTCGTTGAACTTCTCAATTTATTTCCCTTGTTCCTTTCAGTGTATTATTTTTGATGTGGTTATTACGGTGGAATTCCTGAAACGTTTGATATAAAGAAGTTCTATCGTTCTAGCGAGGAATATAGAGGATTTTCTAGTCCTATGCATATTTTCCTTTCCTTTTCAGTTTTGTCACAACATCCTTTGTCCTGATTTTCATTTCTATCGGTCTTAATCTTTGAACTACTTGAATCGTAAACATTACCAAGTAATCAGACGTCTATATCTCGCTATCCGTTCCATCGTTCATGTAACATATGTATCTAATCGTATTATGTTATCATCCTTTGTAATCGCTTCCTGGAGAGAATCTAATTTAAACGTATGATTTCAGCTCCCGTGAACCCGACGAATCCATTTCTGAACGGTGGAGGCGGCGGCGGTGGTGGATATAATTACGGTATGACTGGCATTGGCGAGGACGAGTATATCCGTAGGAGCTTCCAGGTTTAGTAAAACCGTTCTAATTAGAACGTCACCGTGATTGAAGACGTTCGACGTCACTCTAGACGAAAAGAAAACTTCTACGAAAGGCTATACTCTCTGAACGATACAATATTTTTTCTATATTTTTGATACATACCGTCACTTTTACTTTAAACGCCATTTTTCTTTGTAATTTGTATTAGACGATCGTTACAGTGGAACACATCGCTGTCGACGATTCTAATTCCGTTTCCCCTTTTTCTCTTTATCAACCGACAGCTCTACAATGAAGTGATCAGCGGGGAACTGGACCTGATGAAGCCGCCGCCAATAGTGACCCATCTACACGCTCAACAACCATGCACCAATCCCTTCCATCAGCACGAATACGAATGGTAACAGTCCGGGACGATCGATCCTGCCTGAGATGATCAACGGGACACGCTGGTCGACGACCGGCTCGTTCTCTGGAGAACCATGAACCAAGAGGAGGATGACCAAGTTCGATGAGACGCATCGATGAAAAGCTTCAGTGGGGAGCTAGCTGAACACCCTGACGACCTGATCGGTGCCCCGGTTGCTAACTGTACATACGAACCGTCTGGTTGCTGCACCTTTATGAAACTGGAGCCTACAGTTTTCTCGTGCAATTTAACCTATCTACGATCTTCGAGGCAACATCACATTCTCGGATACGATTTTGAGGAAATTGAGGTAACGAAGACACGAGTGGATTAAAGGAAAATAACTGAAGAACGTGGCAGGGTTAAGGGGCAAGTTCAACCCTCTTCCATTGCATTTTGATTAACTATCTATATTATACTCCTCGATGCTTGAAGATGCATCTAAGAAATCCCAGATTTCAAGTAAAAGAATGCAGTATTGAGATGGACAACCGAGCCAAAGGAAACCGGCGATAAAGACTGACCGATGAATTTGGAAGTCCCTGGTACTCGAGACCCCAAACGTTCGGATTATCTTCTTTGTGGATCACTTGATGGATCGGTTGATTTCAGAATCGTGACCTGACCGACGGGAACAGTCGGAAAGCAAGACGCGTGATCAGCGCCGGGGTACCGGGGGTGGCTTGGAAAAATCGGGATCGACGTCCGCGGAGCGGAAGTTCTCGAGCATCGAACCGGAAGAACGAATCGACGCCATCCAAAGGATGTACATTGGTGGAGCGCGACGGCGTGGTCCCGATTGGCGCGTGCTTATTAGTCGGCGAATGGTTCTTTTTTTCATTTGATTACCATCGCCCGAAGAAATAGCACGCGCGACGAGGGGACCGTTTCCGGCCAGAACACAAATAAGCAATTGTACAGCGGAGATTAACCGGTATATCTTTCGATGACATGAGTATATACTTAAAAATTACCTGACACGTGTAGTAACGGCACAACAGGATCTGCGGGGTCGCTTCAACGAAACTATTTATCCTATGGACTTGCATTCCACGGTATCGTTCGAGTTGCCCGCGACAGGCTGACTGTCCATTCGAGAGTTTCCGCGTGACCCGCTCTCGAGAGCGACATGTATAACTTTAGAAAATTTCAGGTGTTACCAGTAGAACTACCCTAACCGCCACACTGACGCCTTAGTTTTCTTATTTTGCAATTATTCGTAGTTCACAAGTATTTAATATTCGAAATGATTTTGGAGACAGTTCCACGTAAATGCTCTAACGGATATCTGAAGAAATCGAAAGCAAATGTATTGTTACAATATTTATAAAGAGTACACATCAACTTCAGTAAATACTCCGTAGTTAGTGTTAATTGCAGGTGCATAGGTTACTACTAATCAAATGAATGTGATTAAACTACTTGAACTTCTAAAAAATTGATAGAAATCGGTATATCTATAACATTTATACTTCATCGATTTTCAAAACTGTTTCAATTAGAGCTGATGGTGTGAAAAAGTAACAACAAATATAAGTGCATAACAGAGAAATGTTCATACGCATTTAAAAATCCTGTTACTTTATTTTTTAAGGTTTTTAAGAACATTTCTACATACCCCTTTTTTCGCATTATTTTAATAACTGTTTGTCTTTCATAAAGATCCGCTATCTAATCATCAGTATTCACCTGCAAAAAACGCCCTCGAGAGTAACTCACAATAATTATACCCTCGAATGGACACCTAGCCAGATTTTCTCCTTAGTGGTGGCCAATATTCGGAAAGAGGAAAGTTACCGCGATCGGTCAGCATTCTTAAAAAGACCTGAGACACGCCGGAGAGCTCGAATCACGCCGTGCAACTCGAGTGCAAGCGCCTCGATGTATTATTGTGTATCTAACGCGCCAGTACACTCTGCTTTTCTCGTTTCATCGTGAATTCCATGGGCGCAGGCTCGCGTCCCACCGTGATCGAGGAAACCGAGAACGGAAAGAGCACGAGGATCGTCAGAGCGATCATTTGTAAATACTCCTATTCCCCTCGAAGACCCAACTCCCTGTTTCTCTCACGTTCTCCCGTGTGGATATTTAAGGACCCGTGTTTCTCTATCCTTCGTCCTTGTTTTCTGTTCCTAGTTGCTCGTTCCGTGTTGCAAATCTGTAAAACGTATCACTTGTAATCGGGTAGAGAGTCTATCGAAGTAGCTCGTATCTCGTACTGTTTTACCATGTAAGCAGACACGTTTTTCTCGTGATAGGTGTATGATACTGTTGACTAAATAGATGATTAAAGAGGTAATCGGCGATGATGGCGGAGGCTGAGGAAAAAGGAACCGGGAACGAGGGGGAGGGACGCGCATCTCTATTAAATTATTCGTTTCTTAAATCGATCGTGACGAGTCGGATTGATTGTATCAATTTTGCGGATCAACCATTAATGGATTCTTACTTGAATAGTACGCATGCGCTGGATCAAGTTTCAAATGTCATTATTTCGGAAGCACGTCGTATCGGAAATATTGCATGATTCTCAGTTGTTCATCCGTGTTGCGAAATTCGATTTTCTGTATTTAATATTGGTAAAGGTTGTGTTTAATCGAAAGTTTTCTTCGTTAAAGATATTAACATGTTAATAATGCGAATAATAGTTAATATTGTTATATATATTTTATGGGATGTTTATCTTTTATTCCGGTGGAAAGATGAAAAAGGGATCGGTTTGTTGCGTTAGACCTCCCCTCGCGTCCGTGTTCCGAAAGTCGGTGAAACGAAGGGAAATAATCGGGTTTCCCGCGGCACAAGCTAGAGATTACGTTGTACCTACATACGATGTCGAAGTTAAAGCTAAATCTAAGGCTATTGTTACGTAACCGTACGAAAAGTACCGATTACGCGATTAAATCGTTAAGTGTGTGCGTCGGAGTGACCACGTGGTGGTGAGCGCCGATTTCAGACGATGAAAATCGTCCGCATGTCAGTGCAGGTTTTTCGAGGACACCTTCCACCGAAACTGAGTAGCATTTAAATCGAGAATATGCATAACCGTAGCTAGCGTTCTACTCGCGAGTCATGCAGAGCCGTTTACCTTGAAGGTGACGTAAGCAACAGCTGACTAAGTGAAAGAGTCCGATAAATTAATCATAAACTCACGTGAATCTATTTAAAGACGTTACCTAACGTAATACATGACTATCCAATAGTCCACCAAGTGCATCGAATTTTCTTTTATATTTCTGATTTGAAGAAGTAATCGGTATCCTCTATTTGAACGAAAAATTACGCTATCTCCAAACTGTATTCAGTGATTTCAGTAAATTTAATTTGTAGCATCGTTTTAGTAGAAGTTTAGTAGAAGCAATAGTTAAAATTACCTAACACTACTTACTTAATACTATTATCATTAGCTAATTAATTTATTAACTAAGAAATTTATTATTTGTCCCTCTAGTTGCAAGGATATGTTCTCCAAAGAATTCTATCGTTTTCTTAGCTACCCTTCAAAGTAAACGGCTCGAAACCGCGTCCGTTTCCGACACCGACGAACGAACAATCACGTATCAACCCCCATTGCCTTACGAAAAGCACGTGCACGCGCCACGAGGCTGGAAATAGGTGGCAGAATCAATCATCCGTACACCGTAGAGAAGCCGTAGGGGTTTACGTATCGGAATTGGTCTGTCGTTATGAGAAGAAAGGGAGAAAAACGAGAACATAGCGGAAAAGAAACTTTTGTTACCTCGCCAACTACTATCGTTGACCACCGGCCCGTTCTAGGGAAGCTTCTTTAGATGATGCAGCCTGCGATCGTGTTTCCGTTTCCCGCACGCGACGGATGGAGGCCGTCGAACCTCTCTGCCTACAGATTATCATTTGTTGAAGAGGAAGAGCCGGTGAAAGGCGTGCTCGAAATAAACGGAATGAGAATTACGAACACTCTTGTCTCTTCTCGTTCTTCGACGCGACGAAGCTCGCGAGGATCGATCTAATTTCTCGCTGCTGTGTCGGATCTACGACGTTCACGCGAAGTCTTCCCCAATACGTAGACAGTGCTAGCGAATCTATCATCGAATTTCGATCGGAGACATTCGAAATGAACATGAGATTAAAGAAAGATATGGTACTACGAAAGAGAAGGGAAGAATGTTGATGATGGAAAACGTACCGACGAATCGTGTTAAGTTCCAATGATTCGCGGGCTAGAATCCGTTTCGATCGCGATCAATCTCGAACTCCGCGCAGCATCCTTTCCGAGCATACTTTTCACCAAAACCTGACACACACATGGGTACATGTATACATGCATACATACACGCGTGTTCTTCTACGAACACGCACAGACATACAGATATACAGACACATGAAACACGGCAACATACATCATCCGCAAATTCGATACATATCATGTAGGAATTAAGATGAAAGAGGAAGAGATCGATGTAACGTATTGAAGAGAAAACGCTTTGCACTTGGTCACCCGGTACGTAGTCAGCGAATCAGGATTCTCGTTGACACTAGAACTACCAAATAATTGAATTGTTTTGTATGTTCATTTGTGGAGAGACTTGTGTTTTAGTTTTTACATTAGTAAATCAGTTTACTTAATTATTCCTTGGGTAAGCTATAAATGATGATTTATAATTATCTTTTCAGTAATTGTAAACAGGAGAAACTCGAAATCAGTGATTTTGGCCCGTTTGATAGTTCTAATGTTAAATGTTAAATTAGTGAGAAATCAGATCGCGTTGAGAGTGATCTGCCAATAGATTTTCAAGGAAAAAGGAAAACGTTAAGACTGACAGAGAATATCGTTGCTCGGTGTTCGTTATCAGAGTTCAATAGACTCTTGATGATCAAGGGACTCAAGTGCGAAGCGAGATAACGACAGCTGTACTATAGGTATAGCGCTATTAATAGATGATTATCAGTGGAAGAGTAATATACAGTAACGATGTAATTAATATACAGTTTGAAGAAAAAGAAGAAAAAATGATTGCTTCGATTTTACTACAACCTTATCCCAGCTAGATCCGGGAATCGTTGAAACGCTTCCTTTGTAGATCGATACCTTTTGACAGTGCTAAATCTGCTGCATGCACTCAGCTGCGTAAAGCGATGAATAGACCATGCATCTTTTCGTGTACGGAATTCTCTCGCTATAATCACGCTTGTTTACTCGCAGCACAATAGAATCCCAAATTAATTGTAATTAATCGAACGTTGGAAGAATGATAAGAGGAAATTTCAGATTACACCACAGGATACATACGATTAGAAGGATGTTACAAATGATTAAAAATATTATAGAGAGAGAATATTTCATTAGAAACTGGAAATCTTGGTTGATTTTATTCAAAACAAATCGAACTAGATTTACTATAAACACAAGTACACTCGACATGCAGAAATGATACAGCATTGCGTTAATCCTTTCGAGACTGACTCAAGATATAATTATTCATAACCTTTCAACGAGAAATTCGGAATCCGACTACACTCCTATATCAAAATAAATTTTTCCTCTAAACAGCAATAAAAATCTAGAAAATTAATCTCGGAAGGATTAAATCTTATATAATACTATGAAATCTACAATGAAACATGGCGGTACATTATTGGTCAGGATTACAATGGGAACGATCTCGAGCAAGACAAACGCCGAACACGCTTGGTAAATAAAGGTTTATTATTCGTCATTCTTTCTCCTCTATCGTTATTTACTTAACTTCTGTTCGGACAGAATTTACAACTAGAGGCACTAGTCAAGCTTAAACTCTAGCTGACTACGAAGTTTCTTTCCGTAATTTATGCTCGATGTTTCTAACTCTATTCGGGCTCTCTCTCTCTCTCTCTCTATCTCTCTCTCTTTTTCTCTCTCTCTCATTCTCTTCCTCGCTCTCAATTTCTTTCCCCAGGTACGACGAGATCCCGGGGAGCGGCAAAAATCGAAAAAACTGGTGTAAAGTCGAAGATTGACTAGAACTAGCGTGTTTCCTTTACCTTAATCGATAACTAATTGTAAGTAATATGCTCACTCCATGTTACTCTTATTTTATTTCTTCTTTGATCACTGACCATTAAGTGGTTCCGCTATATCGGTGTTCTCTCTGTGTAGTATGCGTGTGTTCTTTTTTGTATATCTGTGTATTCGTGATATCCGTATCATATATATGTATATACGTGTGTATACCTATGTATATGTAATATAGAAACAGTGTGGCTGTATATGTAAGTACGTGTGTGTGACGGGTCTCTTATGTTCTTCACGCGTGTCCTCGCGGTGAAAGATCACGGATTCAGCGATTACGGAAGAGAGAAAGTACCGCGACTCCGCGTCCCCTTAACCTCTACTCCAATAAAAACACTATTGTATATACCCTAAGAATGTAAAATACCGGCTTCATCTTGAAGGCAATCGTAATCTGATTACCATGGAGAGAAAAAAAGTGAAAAAGAAACGATAACGCGTCCTCCAGCCTTGGTTACCTGGTTGCATTCTGCGTCCTTGTCGCGTGCGTACAAATGGCGTCCGCTCTTGACCGCGACGCCATTTTGTTAGCGGCACGCGCGGCCGAAAACTTGGGTACCCGTGCAAAACGGGAAACAAATCGTCGACAGAAATACGTCGAATCGAGTTATTCCTGTTTCTTTGTTCTTTTCTCGTTTCTTTGGTTTCAATTAATCGTCCTGTGAGCGTGTGTCCCTCGTTCGTGATTATCGGCGGTTTCGACTCGTTATCGTTCATCAACTCCCGTGTAGGTAGTAGGTAGTAGGTAACTCGGTTTGCGTCTCGTTGGAGATCGAAGTCCGTGTGATTAGTAATATGCGAAGACAAGAAGAAGCAAGCGGCAAGAGAAGAGGCGGGATAAACTGGTTTTCCGTTAGAAGACACGGCTCCGTTTTGTTACTTGAGACGATTCAAGGGAGGGTAGTCAAGGGAGGAATCTAGGGAGAAT